TTGCCCAACCTTCCTTCCGAGGAGTGGCTGGTGGGTTTGAACCGCCAGCCTTCTGGTTAGCAGTCCAGTGCCTTAGGCACTATGCTACCAGAGCTTCCAAGATGCAAAGAGTTCCCTCCAATTGCTACCTTCTTCTTTCTTAGGAGCAGAATCTGTAGGTAGTATGCTAAAATTGGAAGAGCACTTAATCTAATCAGCCACTGAATAGTGTGGTAACAAATAAAAAGCTTAAAAAGAAAGACACGTTTCATTCCATGTTCACCCCCTGGTAAACATCTGAGGAATGAAAGATGGAGAATAATTGTCATGCTGCTGACACCAATCATGTGTTACCTTCCAGGGCTTTGACTGTCACCCAGGTAGGGTTGCTGTAAGTCCGAATCGATACATTATAGCTACAACAGTCATTCTCTTCCTTTGAAAGACAGGGACCAGATATCACGTGAAGGCAGTGGTCAAACATCTGCTCAGATGAAGTTATTATAAGAACAAGATGGTCTTGTTTCAGACTTGCTACAAGGGGAAACCAATTGAAAGATATTGCTCTTTATTTAAAACAACAACAACAACAAAAATGCAATAAAGGAACACCTGGTTATGAGGCTCTCACAGCTTGAGGTTCACCTCAGCAGGGCCAGTCACCGATCTCAGGGGTTTTTAATCCCATTAAGTCAATGGGAAAATGAATCAAGAGTTTCAGCAGGGATCTGAGGTACTTCCCAGAAGGGGCTATGATTATATCACCCAAAAAGTCCTGACCCAGATGAGACTGGGGACGACTTTCTTTATCGGTGGTTGGAGTGTAGAATGTCCATGCTCCTTCTTAATTCTGTAACAGGGTCCCACAAAATAAGAAATGTTTAGGACATGCCTTTTAGAGAGTGGGATATACTTGAGAGATTTGGAGAACTGAGCAGTTCTTGTGGGACTGAATCATAAACTTTAAAAAAGTGAATTGAAACTTCTCTGGTCACAAAAGTAACACACCGATAATACCTTTAGTGGGTAATTTGTATTATTTATACACAAGTACAGAGATACTTTAAACTAAATCCCGATCCAAACCAAACCAAACCAAACTCACTGCTATTGAGTCGATTCCAACACATAGCGACCCCCGTTGGTTTCCAAGGTTGCAAGTCTTTACAGAAGCAGACTGCCTCATCTTTCTTTCATGGAGTGGCTGTTTGGTTCGAACCACCGACCTTTTGTTTAGCAGCCAAGTACCTTAACCATTAAACCACCAAAACCAAACCAAACCAAACTCACTGCCATCAAGTTGGATTCCACTCAAAGTGATCCCTGCTTGGGTTTCCGAGGCAGTATCACTATGGAAGTAGATTGCCCAATCTTCCTTCCAAGGAGTGGCTGGTGGGTTTGAACCGCCAGGGCTCTTTAAATGCTGATATAGCATTATATTCAAATAGGAAGCTTCCCTCAAAATTTCCAAAATGCAAGAAATACTCCAATTTTTATTATATTGGGAGCTCTGGTGGTGTAGTGCCTAAGGCATTTGACTGCTAACCAGAGGCTGGCAGTTCAAACCCACCAGCAACTCCTCAGAAGGAAGGTCGGGCAATCTACTTTTGTAATGATACCACTTCAGAAACCCAAGGAGGGGTTCCTATGAGTCGGGTTCGACTCAACGGCAGTGAGTTTGGTTTGGTTTTTTGGTTCTGCATGGATTAATTTAGGCTATAAATATATTTTAATCATAATAGTAATTAGTGCAAATGCATATTGGAAAATCATGTGTTCTTCAGGAATAGTATA